AACAATTTTATACTGTAGTATAGACCAAATCACTAAAATGTCACGCTCACAACAGTCACTCCCAGGTCGACAACTGGCAGTCCTTTGAATGGCGGAGATACGTGAAATCTGCAATTTATGTTGTCATTTTCAGCCATAACTATGAAGTTACATAGTGAAACACAGTGGTCTGAACAATCTGGTGTTGCTTTGCTAGCATCTTGAATAAAGCAACAGAGACAGCTCATTTCCAGTCGCACGGCCAGCCAAACTGTGATACTCTCCCAGTTGTGTCCTCGCTTGATTTATTTTGTGTATCCAGCTTTGACATCTGTGTCTGGCTTGCAGTCAATGCTGCAAAAATAGTGAAGTTTTCTTTGATTTGTGTCCATTTGTTTGAGAAAGAGAGAGAGACAGTGGTGGTCAAGGTACATAAGACAGGGGAGACACAAATAAACACCCCTACGCACCGCACCAGCCTGTGGCTAATTGCTGCAACCCCTGATCTGGTCTGAATATAGTGGTAACTGCTAGTGGTGGGTAAACTCAAGCTGACATTTTGTTCATTCTGTGACCCAGCTCCGTGACTAAAAGTGTTGTTAATGAGATATGAAAGCATAAAACATGCAGTTTAGATTAATTAGATACTAGATTATAGACTTTGAAATTACATAAAAAAAAGAAAACACTCATCATGATTCTGCCATTACATTGTATGTAAGCTACACAGAGGTTTTCTACCTGCAAGTTATTATAAACAAACATTATGATTATGATTGTACATGGAATGTTCACAAAAAAAAATATTCTTAGCAATATTATGAAAATATAATTATTTTTATTAATCCATGTACGTATATGATGCCAAACTTAAAGAGTATCCTAACATCAGAGTATGAGGGGCCGTACAAGACATTATTCATTCTGGCCCTCTCACATACATATATTCTTCTTTCACATACATATATATTCCCTCTCACATACATATATTCTTCTTTCACATACATATATATTCCCTCTCACATACATATATTCTTCTTTCACATACATATATATTCCCTCTCACATACATATATTCTTCTTTCACATTCATATATTTTCCCTCTCACATACATATATTCTTCTTTCACATACATATATATTCCCTCTCAAATACATATATTTTCACTCACACATTCATATATTTTCACATACACATTCATATATTTTTACTCTCACATTCATATATTTTCACTCACACATTCATATATTTTTATATATGTATGTAAGAGGAAAATATATGTGTGTGAGAAGAATATATGTGTGTGTGAGAAGAATATATGTGTGTGTGAGAAGAATATATGTGTGTGTGAGAAGAATATATGTATGTGTGAGAAGAATATATGTATGTGTGAGAAGAATATATGCGTGTGTGAGACAAAGTATACATGAAACGGAAGGACAATAGTGGAAACGGAAGGCAGGCCATTTTATCGCGCTGTGATTGGCTGATAAGTTGGCGCGAGGTCATGTGCAGGTCATGATTAACATGGAAGGGAGAGAGGAGACCCGTGCACTGCAGCAAGCCATTGGGGTATTAAGAACTATTTTATCATCATCTGAAACGGTCACATCGTTGTCCTCGTCCCTTGAGCAGCGGAGGACAAGCTCATCAGGACCTAACGTTACTCACAGCACGGCGGAAAATGAGACGAGAGAACTTTTCAGACCTCGAAACTCCCAAGTCGCTTCCGCAGCCCAAGCAGCTAACGTTAGCGCTACACAAGGACGACCTGGAGGACTGTCGCAGTCTTTACAATATGAGACACAGCTACACTTTGGCAACTGGGGCTCCCGGAAAAGGAAAAGGTAAGAAAAACGTAGCGTTACATGGTAACTTAACTGGAAGTAGTAAATCCCAAATGCTCGTTTGCTAATTTGGCTACAGTCAATGTGTATGTTAATACATGTTCGCAAAACCCGTAAATGTCCGTAGTAAAAACAATAAAGACAATTAAACAATCTTCAAATGACAGAAAACATCGAAGGCTGTTTTGTACTTTTGAGTAACGTTTGTATAAAATGGGTGTAAATGATTCTCTGTGTCACTCTAAGGTTAAGTTGGTAATCTTATAATAATGTGTCTAACGTTAGCGGTAGCTACATTACCTAACGACAGCTGTGGTTAAGGTATTATCATTTTCAGTTAATAGTTCAACTTAACGTTAAGTTGACTTAAGGGCAAATCAAGGTATGTGTAAGATTATAGAGCATTATAGAGCAGGTGAGGAGAGACATGGCTGACACTCTCCCAGCTCCATCATATTTGATCTTTCAGTAGATTATAATATATCTTTTAACAGCATAATCAACCAATGTTGACGATAACCAAAACTGCTAACTGCAACTTTTGGTATTTTCAGCGTTCTGGAATTCTAGCTTCTGATTCTAGCTTGCGTAGCTAAAGTGAAGAGTTGTCAGCAGTAGCAGGTTCAGTCAGTCCATATCAAAATATTGTCAGAACATGCAGTATGTTTAATGGAATGTAGACCAGAATTACAGAACATTTTCACATTTTTTTCATTCCTAAATGACAGTAGAGGGATACCAATGTAACTAATGTAACCCTCTAAAGATATTGACAATGCCTAATTTAAAGTAGTTTTATTGCAGTCTGCTGTTTGGGCAGCCTTCTTTGTCTCGTTGTTGTTTATCCATCAGCTTGTTAATAATGAATCAAATAATTGTATGTACTAGTATGCACTAGTATTAGTGCAACGTTAAAGGGCATGCAATTAAGGATCCAAAAATAACACCTCTGCTTTGTTTTGTAGGGCCAAATCACATTACCACGATACTTTCAACAAAGATATCATCCTTCTTCCAAAATCATCGAGCAGTGCTGTCATCAGGCATTGCACAAAGCAACAGTTACATGAACAGGGACAGAGCACTGTCACTGAACAAATAAGGGATGCCTTTGGAGAAAAACACTCTGATGTAAGGTAAGGACTAATATTTGTTTTTATTATTTCCAAACTGTGATTATAAATGACTAACTGAAATTAGCAGTGGCATGAATTATTCTGGCATGAATTATTATTTTATTTATTATAAATTCTGTTGTGTCCATCTCAAAAGAGGAAATGGAACATGACTGATCAGTTTCACTGTGTCTTGTGCAAAAAGGTTGGTTTGGGCCTGTTTTTTCTCAAAACTTTTGCAATTTTACCTGCTGTTTTTCAGCTTGGAGTTTCTGATGGCATGTGGCAACAGACTGATTTCACCCAAACTGCGTGCTGGACAGAAGTTGGATGCAAATCTCACACATAAAATATATAGATCAAAAGCCCTATACATCAGACCATCAAAGCCAATTCTGGTATGTTATATAATTGAATTAAATTGCAGAATAATATTAAACCCACTGTAATAATAACCAATAAGTGGTGCATAAACATGCATGCATTAAGGTCAAATCTGGTCAGTTAGCTCTGACCTTTGGTATATTTTCATTAGTGTATAATGTCAACCATATAAAGTCATTCTAAGAAATATAATAAATATAGATCTGGTGTTTCCAGGTACTATTCAGTTTACAGTAGACATTTAGTATATCTGAAATATATGCTGATATGTTTCTCATGTCTTTCCAAGGATGATATTGCAGGCTGTAGCAGTGGCGAAAACAATTGTGAGGAAATCACTGGTTCAGCAAGGCAGCTACGCTCCTCATCTCTAACACGAGATAGACCCTCATATGCATCTTCAGAGAACTTCACCAGTCCAATGACTGTCTCCCCACCAAACTGCTTCTGCAATTCAACCATTTACCTCATCACTTGGGGGTGGAGAGATATTTACACAAACTTCTTCTTTGACCTCCCAAAGCAGTATATCTCCCAACTGCAGCAGCATTTCAGCATGAATTATTCTAAATACACATTTGTTGCATCTTTGTTAAAACAATAAGGTGCTAATATCTTAAGTACAGTTCAGATTTTAATAAAGTTCTATGAAGGCAATAAAAACACTTTAAATGTAGAGAGTTATTGTGTAGTAAGCTTAAAATGATTTCTATATTCTATATTTTAGCCAGGATGTTTGCTAGTGAATTTAAAGAGCTTAGTGTTGTTCACCACTCCCTGCCTGGTCCAAGATAAGAGGACAACTCCTCTTATATAAGTTAAGGAGGTCACCTTTAGCATACTTGTACTGAAACAAAGGCAAGTTCAATTGTTAAATATTATTTAAGTGTAGTAGAGTGAATGATTTGTTATGATTTTCTTCTCCCACCACATCAAGGCCCTGATTTAAAGCAAGTAATATATTTTTCCAAATTGTCATGAAATGATTGATTTTATATCTCTTGGGGAAACTTTTATTTTGAAGCATCCAAATGCTTTGCTCTTATGTCAAGCTGACATGTCACTGAGCTGATTTCCATTGAATTGGCTGAGCATAGTATTGCTCTACACTAATCCTATGGAAAGGGTCTAAAACTAATAAACAGGTGGTTTAGATTTGTCTGAATGGTCAGATAACAGTCTGAGTTTTTTAATCAATATGTAAAATTGATTGATTGTTGAAAAGCCTTCAGTGTGTCAATTTATGTGCAATGTGAAACTATTTCCTGTTTTTGTTGTCGTTCTACTGCTTCTGTGTTGCTTCTTGTGCCTCTCCTAAATCCTATTCTCACAGCTGCTGCATGAATGTTGATGTTAGCGTTTTGTCATCTTATTTTAAAAAGGACATGTTAAAGAAAAGTAACAGTTCAATACAATTTGAGTTCTTCACTCAAACCTTCAATAAAGGTTTCACACATTTAACTATTTGTTTGATTACAATTTCATTGAACATTTTAAAGTAAGGAAACCGAGCTTAATGTAAATGTGGTGCTTTAACCACACGGAATCACATTGAAAATAGTCTGAGTATTGCCTACACTATAAATATCCAAGAAATGGAAGAAAACTGCAACCATGAACTTAAAACACAGAAATATAAGTAATGCTATACTATCCCTGTGTTAGGCAGTGGGTTCTTTATTTTTCTTTGCATTACACATGACCCCACACAGTAGGGCCATTTCAACATTCAAGTCAAACAGAAAAGCATAATATTTTGAAAATATTAACATTAACAACACAAAATAATAACAGTTTACATTTATTTTATACAGGTACAGTATTTGTAAGCAGAAATAACTTAATTGTTGGGTTGGCTCTGCATTTGCATCATGTACTAGCTTTTCACTCTCCAGGCTTGATATTATCGCCAGGTTAAATTCCTCATTGTCAGCCATTACTGAAAGGTAGTTCTCACAGTTTGCTGTTTGATGGCGTGTTGAGGTATAGGCAGAACAATGACTTGCTGGAATGCTGCTCTGGTAGGGTGAAGTTGAGATATCTTCGCAAGTCAGGACCAGAGTTGGATCAACTGTAGTTATTCCTCTTAATGATGAGGTAGAAGGCTGACTGGTGGAAGGGCAGCTCTCCAGTGGACATACTAGTACCTGACCAGAAGAACTGCTCAGTTTCAGTTAGTCATTTATAATCACAGTTTGGAAATAATAAAAACAAATATTAGTCCTTACCTTACATCAGAGTGTTTTTCTCCAAAGGCATCCCTTATTTGTTCAGTGACAGTGCTCTGTCCCTGTTCATGTAACTGTTGCTTTGTGCAATGCCTGATGACAGCACTGCTCGATGATTTTGGAAGAAGGATGATATCTTTGTTGAAAGTATCGTGGTAATGTGATTTGGCCCTACAAAACAAAGCAGAGGTGTTATTTTTGGATCCTTAATTGCATGCCCTTTAACGTTGCACTAATACTAGTGCATACTAGTACATACAATTATTTGATTCATTATTAACAAGCTGATGGATAAACAACAACGAGACAAAGAAGGCTGCCCAAACAGCAGACTGCAATAAAACTACTTTAAATTAGGCATTGTCAATATCTTTAGAGGGTTACATTAGTTACATTGGTATCCCTCTACTGTCATTTAGGAATGAAAAAAATGTGAAAATGTTCTGTAATTCTGGTCTACATTCCATTAAACATACTGCATGTTCTGACAATATTTTGATATGGACTGACTGAACCTGCTACTGCTGACAACTCTTCACTTTAGCTACGCAAGCTAGAATCAGAAGCTAGAATTCCAGAACGCTGAAAATACCAAAAGTTGCAGTTAGCAGTTTTGGTTATCGTCAACATTGGTTGATTATGCTGTTAAAAGATATATTATAATCTACTGAAAGATCAAATATGATGGAGCTGGGAGAGTGTCAGCCATGTCTCTCCTCACCTGCTCTATAATGCTCTATAATCTTACACATACCTTGATTTGCCCTTAAGTCAACTTAACGTTAAGTTGAACTATTAACTGAAAATGATAATACCTTAACCACAGCTGTCGTTAGGTAATGTAGCTACCGCTAACGTTAGACACATTATTATAAGATTACCAACTTAACCTTAGAGTGACACAGAGAATCATTTACACCCATTTTATACAAACGTTACTCAAAAGTACAAAACAGCCTTCGATGTTTTCTGTCATTTGAAGATTGTTTAATTGTCTTTATTGTTTTTACTACGGACATTTACGGGTTTTGCGAACATGTATTAACATACACATTGACTGTAGCCAAATTAGCAAACGAGCATTTGGGATTTACTACTTCCAGTTAAGTTACCATGTAACGCTACGTTTTTCTTACCTTTTCCTTTTCCGGGAGCCCCAGTTGCCAAAGTGTAGCTGTGTCTCATATTGTAAAGACTGCGACAGTCCTCCAGGTCGTCCTTGTGTAGCGCTAACGTTAGCTGCTTGGGCTGCGGAAGCGACTTGGGAGTTTCGAGGTCTGAAAAGTTCTCTCGTCTCATTTTCCGCCGTGCTGTGAGTAACGTTAGGTCCTGATGAGCTTGTCCTCCGCTGCTCAAGGGACGAGGACAACGATGTGACCGTTTCAGATGATGATAAAATAGTTCTTAATACCCCAATGGCTTGCTGCAGTGCACGGGTCTCCTCTCTCCCTTCCATGTTAATCATGACCTGCACATGACCTCGCGCCAACTTATCAGCCAATCACAGCGCGATAAAATGGCCTGCCTTCCGTTTCCACTATTGTCCTTCCGTTTCATGTATACTTTGTCTCACACACGCATATATTCTTCTCACACATACATATATTCTTCTCACACATACATATATTCTTCTCACACACACATATATTCTTCTCACACACACATATATTCTTCTCACACATACATATATTCTTCTCACACACATATATTTTCCTCTTACATACATATATAAAAATATATGAATGTGTGAGTGAAAATATATGAATGTGAGAGTAAAAATATATGAATGTGTATGTGAAAATATATGAATGTGTGAGTGAAAATATATGTATTTGAGAGGGAATATATATGTATGAAAGAAGAATATATGTATGTGAGAGGGAAAATATATGAATGTGAAAGAAGAATATATGTATGTGAGAGGGAATATATATGTATGTGAAAGAAGAATATATGTATGTGAGAGGGAATATATATGTATGTGAAAAAAGAATATATGTATGTGAGAGGGAATATATATGTATGTGAAAGAAGAATATATGTATGTGAGAGGGCCAGAATGAATAATGTCTTGTACGGCCCCTCATATCAGAGTGAAAAGGTTTGTTTCACCTCTGACCACACCCGGCGTCATTGATGGGTGTGTCTTGGTGATGTGATGCCATGGGTTACTGACACAGACATCCTGCAGTGCACTTCTACATCACTGCAGCAAGGTGAGATGTTGAACCACTGAAGGTCAGCAAAAGCAAGAATTGCAGGGGATTCAAAGTGACTTTTTAATGAAGGGGCAGTTTTAGACACACAGTGGTGTTAAATATAGATTTCAAGTACTTGTACGTCCTCTATATGCTATCCATTTATTTGAATTAAGCTTTTGGCAGACTGCAATATCCATATGTAAGAAATGGTTTATTGATTTTTTTTTGCATTGCATCCATTGAAAATGAAACTATTTAAAAATAAAATGTATTTCTTTTTCTATGGGAGATACAGACAGTTTTTTTAAACTTGATTCCCGAAGACGTGGATGTGTATGTAAACCATACTGCCAGCGTAGTGAAGGCCATTTTTATGTATGTTTTTAGCATTCTTTGTAATTTTTCAAACTCAAGTTGATCTCATTGCTCAAGTATTAGCTTGTGAAAATAATAATAATAATAAATTAATAATGTCACATCCTTCATTTGGTACATTTTGTTTTATCCTTGTTGTTTTATCTTTCACATGGCACACATGGTGTGGGGAATATGCCTGTGGTTTTGTTTTCTTTGGTTTTAATTTGGATTTGTGTTTGTCATAATAGTTATTTCACATAAACAGGAAAAATGGGCCAAAAGGCTTGAGGCAACAATCCATGTTAATATTCAGCAATTCACTCAGTGCATGCATGTATATCGGCCAACATTTGTGAGCTGCATGTGTGTGAATGATTGTTACTGTGTGTGTTTGTGTGTGCATGAGTCTACTGTTGAGCTCTATGACTCTTGTGTTGCATGTTCGTTTGTTGCCTCTAACAAGTCAAAGAGGTAGTTTTTACCGCAGGCAAGGTTATATACCCCAGTACAGACACACACAAAGGAATACAAGGCTGTTTATTGCAGTAAAACATGAAAAATTGATAAGACAGTGGGACCACTTGCCGGCCTCTACAATCATTTTTTATTTTTAACTTAATATTATTTTTAGCTAAGAAGTGCCTCACTGAAAAGAAGTTATTTTACAGGAGTTGCCCAGCAAGCTGAAGCTCACTTTCAGTTCAAGCTTGATTTAATTTATCACATTGCACATAAATACATTATTGTTAGAGGGCTAAATAACCAATTTAGTATGTTCGGCTTTTGAGTTCTATCTACTATACAGTATATTACAGGACATGATTCATGAAAGATGCATTTTATGTCACTTGCTTCTGATTTCTACCTCATTCTGCCATATCTCCCAACATATAAAGATAAAGTTAGCTTCATGTTTTCCCACAGTTCAATGCAGGAAAGCAACACTGCAACCTAGCAACATAAATTGACATCTTGTACAAGTTGAGGACTATCATGGTTTAATACAAATTATTATATATATTTGCAAATTTTGTTTTTCGTAATGCACGTAATCTTAATGCGTAATGACACTTAGAATGACTGAGGCAGCGGGTCCTATCTCTATGGAATACGCCATGTGAAACCGTAGCAGTAGCCCAGAATGGACAAACTAAACACTGCCTATGTTATCCACAAGTTGCACTGCCACCATAGTTTCTCCTACACACTTGGAACAGGAAGGTGAGGCAAGGACGTTAAAATCAGCAACTAAACCACTAGATGCCACCAAGTCCCACACACTGGTCCCCCTAAAATCTAGTCGCAGTGTTAATATTCAAACACTGTAAAACCATATTTACAATTTAATATTGTCTATTAGCTTTTTTTTTTTTACCATTTATTGTCAACAAGCTATTAGAGTTGGCAGTAGACTTCCAGCACACTAGACTTAGGTTCTATTAAGCATTATATTACATTTTGTAAGCTATTAAATCACAAATGTCAGGTAACTGGAGTAAACAAGTTTAACAGTCTCTCAATTATTCTTCTAACAAGTTTTTTTGCTTACAATTTATATCGCTAATGTGCGTCTGCTCTTATGTTGGTCTCAACTTGTGCGTTTTAGTGTGTTTGTGTGTATCCTCTCCCATCATATTTCTTCTCCTACATTCTCTCACTGTTTCCCTTTTCTTCTTGACTCTCTCCATCCATATATCTCTCTATTGACTGTCCCTTTAAGGCACTGTCAGCCCTGACACCTCCCCTTTAAATGCCAGCAGACACATGCAATCTGTCTCTACCTATCTACAAAATACAGGTGTGTGCACTTGCTCACATACACAACATTTGTGCGCATCCCGCAGTAATGTGTGTGTCCCTTCCAGTATATGCATTCATGTGTTTGTTTGCCCCTTCCTATGTATGCGTGTCAGGTTTAATAGTAAGTGATGGGGTAGCCAGCAGCCTAAACAAGCTTTAGCTCAGGGGGGCAGCACTCACTATCTATCTAACTGCCTGAGAGAGAGAAAGACAGAGAGACAGAGGAAGGGAGGGAGAAGGAGGTACACAACATTTATCATTTAATAGTGGAAGCAACAACTCCTTTTTCAAGAATGGAAGGATACTGTTTACTGTTACCATTGAAAGTCTTGTGAGAAAAACCTAGTCCAAGCAGTTCCGCTTTAAAAATCTTAGTCTGTTTCCAACACAACCCATCCAGGTATTGGCTGGTGTTTCTGCCAGTGTCTCATTGTGTCGGTTGACATGCCAGTTACTCATCCTTTTTTAAAATCAGGCCAAGGTGCTGCACAAATATATCAAAGTTAAAGTTATTGGTCGACATTGTGTAAGCAGTTCCTTTAATGGGTAATATATTCCTCTACTCTATTTTCCACATACACCAGTGATAATTACTCTTCTTTACTAAAGAAATTCTGACAGGCAATAATAAAGGAGAACATTTTACAATGCTCCAGAGTTGACATAAAATTATTAATATTATCATACTTTATCCGAAACATACATACAGACAATCCCACTCAAAAATGTTTGAAATCCTTCAAGAGCTCGAGACAAACACTCGAGAAGCAATTATCCTACTCCACATTTATAGATTGGGCTTTTATTGTGCATCAGTTCATGTCAGTTTGAGTCTCTGCATGTTTGTCTTGGAACCTCTGGGGCTGACAGGGAGGTTAATCCACTATTCAACCCTAGTCAGAGTGTCTCTCCTCTGGGGTGCACAGAGAGCAGCGATGGCCCCTGTCACCTCCACATCTCTGGGATGAGAACCCTCGCCCCGCTTCCACGATGCACCACAAAAGGGCTTATCGTCCCTGGGCATCAAGCAATGCTGACGGGGATTGGAAGGAATGGATGTTTGCACTGCTGGGTGCCAATAAGAGTGACACAAACACACACACATATGAGTAGGTAAGGGCACACTGCTGACATATGGCAAGATAAAAGGGTGGGACTGCACATGCACGCTGTTTCACAAACATACACATGCACATTGTTAAGCATGCATACACACTGACAGACAAAGCCATGCTAGGAGCACTGGATGCTATCTGTTGGAAGGAAATTAGTTTTCTCCCATCCTGAACCTCAGTCTGGTGTCAGTGAGAGTGTGTGTCAATGTGCCCTCAAGTGTGTGTGTGTGAGGGTTTTGAGAAGTCTTTTGTGTGTTTTCACAGCAGTCATTGATTCAGAATATTTCTTATTGATTCAGTGTCATAGTTAAATATTTTAGTTTTTCTCTGCCTCAACAGATATGATTTGGTTTTATTCATTTTGGAATTGTCATGGCCTAGCAGTAGCTACAGTGAATAAGTATTAAATTACACACAATAATTCACTCTCACTGTCTTTTAGTATTTTATTCATACATTTTAGAGACTTTAGAGAGCTAACATCTCTTTTAATCTTTCACTCACTCACTCTCCCGCTCCCTCCCTGCCTCCCTCTCTCCGTCTGTCTGTGATAAATTTAGCTAGTCAATGAGTGGGGTGTAAGGGTGACCTGGCCAGAGGACCTATGTGTGTTTATGTGTGTCTGTATGTTTAGAATTTACGTGTGTGTGACTAATTTAATGGATAGCATGCCACTATGGTCAAGGACCCCCTTACACGCATACGAAAACACACATACGAAAATACACATACACATACACACACTGTATACACACACAGAGTTGAGAGTGGGCAGCGGATGACTGATTTACAGACACACCAGTGACTATTGACCACATGTACTGTAACCTGAAAAATTACTCTGTGTGTGTGTGTGTCACTCAGACTGGTGTTGTTAATCAATCACTCACTACAGACCCTGAACTTTGGACATGACTGGAGGAAATAAATCTACTGACATGAAGAGGAAGAGAGGCAAGGAGGAGAAAAGATGATAGAGTGTAGCGATGATATCTTTTTTTTTAAGATGAAGATGCTTTTTCATGTCAATTTGAATATTTCAC